GCCTCCAACTATTTCAGCACTTTGATATCTATTAATAAACTGCGGCAGAGTAAAACTGCCATCTGCTGACAAGACAGACTTGATTAACATAAGAGTAAAGTGTTGATTATTCAAACTTTCTTCTGAATTTTTCATGTAGTCTTTTAAAGCTTGTCATAATATATGACTCATCTAATAGTCCTTTCTTTCAAAGATGCTATCATTTAAGTTACACATGTACAATACAAAAATTATCTCTGTAGCTACCTCTTTACCATAAAAACCATTCCAGATTTCTACTGAAATCAATGGTCACTAAGTTTCACATGGAATAATGTACTGATAATTTTGGGTATCTGTAATTAATAGTGACTAATAAATCTACAAACTCAGTTTATTCAGACCATTATAAATTAGGTTTTTCTCTAATATCAGTTGCCCATATCTTTATAATCTAAACCTATAAAATATAAATCACTGACAAAGTTCTTTCTATATCTCCCCATCCTAGTATATTTTAGCTTTTAAAACAAAAGCTTTGTGTGTCTCCTTAACGAAGCTTAAGAACATATATAAATGCTACGGTGTTTATATGTGTTCAATATTGTATCCTTGCTCATACACTATAGTTGAGATTAACATTGTGGGTCTCCCCTTTAAAAAGCAATCTTTGTAATTAGGGTCTTTTTTTTATCACTTTAGTAAAGACCAGCCAACAACTGGCTTATTCACAGTACCTAGCCCTTTACAGGATCTTTCACCCCTGCTAAACAAAAGTATTTGCTAAGTATAATGAAGTGTAATGTAATCAACATCGGAATAAGAACCAGATCTCATTTCTAGAAGTACTGCCTTAGTCGAATCACATAATTTATCTTAACCCGTTTTATAACATGAAATATACGAGAACCAGATGGACATTTAATTCTTATGACTACACTGTGAAAATTTCATTTTCTTATTCGACAGATATTTATAGAGAACCTTCTAAGTACTACTTACTAGGCATTGGGGTCACCAATGTGAATAAGGCACCTTACATTTTGCTGAGGGGGATATACGATTTCAGTTACTGGTAAGTGCCAAGAAAGGTAATAGAAATGACAAAGGCCTAGGTTGCTCAAGGAATGCTTCTCTAAGAAAGTAACATTTAAAGTGGGCCGTGAATGATAAGAAGGAGCCAGTCATGTGAAGTTCTGGGGGAAGAGTACTCTACAAAGACGAACAACTATAAAGACAATTCATCTTAGTGATTTTCCCAGCCTATGATGGTCACTTTATGCAAAACCTAGTTTAAAACTGTTCCCACCTTCTATGATTAACTCTCCCTTCAAATTATGGCCTAAATGTTCAATTCTGAAAACATATTGATAATTAACTGCTCTGTGTTTATTCTAGTCTCATAGTAAGTCAGACATTTTAAGGAGAGAATCCTAGGATTCTTCTATTCATCTTCCATAGTACCTTAGCAGTATTACGCACAGAAAGGAACACTTATGAAATACTCAGGACCAAATACTCTATAAAGGAAATCAGTATTTTATTTTCCCATTCCCAGAATAAGGTTTGGTTATAAAGTACTTCAGAAACAACTAAAGTGACTTTGTAAATCCAGTGTAAAAAGCAACTGACTCATGAGTAAGAAATTTCAAATTCAATTCCCAGCTTTACAATTTACTTAGGCATGTGGCTTCTGGCAAATCAAACTCTATGACCACTTGTCAATATCCATAAAATGGGATATCATTTGCCCTGTCTACCCAGGATTAGTTGGTTACAAACTTAATTCCATGGGAGATCACGATCACTGTCCTTAAAGAACTTCTAAGCTTACTGTGGAAACAGAACATAAATACTGGAAACAATGAATGTGTTTCCATTTTAGAACTGGCAAAGGCCTTAAATGATCTTGTTCGATCCCTCATTTTACATGAATAATCACAGGCCCAGAAAAATGTGACTTGCACAAAGTTACAGCAATATATTAAAGCAGAATCGGTAAAGCACCTAAATTTTGTAATTTTTAGCCCAGTACACTTTCAACTACACCATGCTGTCTTAACTATTTC